CACACACACACACACACACACACACACACACACACACACACACACACACACACAAAACATTTTTCATTGATCCCCACCATTCACTTACAAACACAGTGTGGTGTGCAAATACAAAACACCTTTAACAAACCAATGCATTTTGTTTTCTGAACACAAAACACATCTGACAAACAAATACACTAACTGTTTCTAATAAATAATGCTTCAGAGACAAATAGCCTTCCACATTTCATACAAAAACAAACAAAAAAGTCCCAAAAGTAAAAAAATGAGTCCCACAAAAAATTTATTTTACATAAAAATGTATTTTTTGCAAGTACAACAAACATATTCCATTAAAAACACAGACAGTCCAAACATGCGCTCATTGAAACGGCCTGGCAGTTGTCTTTTCTTTTTAACTAGTGCCGATCCCATTTCAAACATGCTGTTTCCAATTGGATGTTTGTTTGGCCTGTGGTGATGCTAGTTGCAGCCTTCTTTCTGAAACTGTAAATTCATAATATGAAACTGAACTTCATCTATTATTGTTTACATGTGGCTGATGGGTAGAGTGGTCGTCCTCCACCCAGAAGGTTGGTGGTTCAATCTCAGTCTTCCGCATCTGCATACTGCATACAAGATACTGATCCCTTATAGTTGACTGTCATTCACTGAGAGATGATGACGTGTGACGTGTGTTTAGTTTCAATACCTTCTCATTTCCTTCTCTAGTGACACCTGATGTTCCTCTTTATCTACCACACTCTCCATTTCGGCCTCTATTTCTCTGTCTTATTACTGGACAGGGTCATTGTGACCAATCCATCCCAGGCTCCAGTCCCTTAAAGGTCCAGTGTGTGAAATTTAGGTATAAGGGAACTATTGGCAGAAATTTAATGTAGAATAATAATGATGTTTTCACTAGTCTGTTTCATCTAAATTATATGAATTGTAGTTTTCTCTACCCCAGAAAAGGCCCTTTATATTTATATACTTTATATTTACATCGAGGGGGTCCTCTCTACGGAGGCCTCCATGTTTTTTACATTAGTCCAAATGGACAAACTAAACACCTTTTCAGTTTTTATGACAATTAAAGGCTACCACAGTTTCTTTTTCATGTTTGGAAGGAGAGGGAGGTGAGGGGTGTTAGGCTGTAACATGAAACTTCAACACTAGATATCAGTAAATTCTACACATTTACACCTTTAAAAAAGGTACTAATGCTGTTGCATTGTGGGAGTTTTTACTTATCAGACTCACATTAACTTAATTCTCAGTGTTTTTATAAGGTTTTTAATATACTTTTAAAATATTTTGATGGTGTATTAGGACATGTATGAAACAATGGCTGACTCACCAGAGACCTGGAGCTCTGTTTGGACGGTGGCAGAAACTGTCGCACATTGGTCGGGGTTTCCTTCTCGATGGAGTGTCTCCTCTGGGGGGTCTGACGCCTCTCTGGCTGAGGTGTGGAGGAGATGGGAAGGAACATGGGGGGAGCTGGTGTCCATAGACAAAAGAGAAGAGATGTAGAAGAGAGAAAAGAAGGCGACTCCACAGTGAAATCAGGGCTCAGGTACAGACAGAATAGAGAAGTAGAAATACCAGTCTCAGTCCTCATACACATTTTCACAGACTCATATGAAGTCACTGTGACCTTAACCTTTGTACTACTGACCTCTTATCAGTTAATCCATGAGTCTAAGTGAGATAAAACTGCTGGTGAGACTGTGAGATCAAAACACACTCATCAGTGTGTGGTTTAAGTTGAGGAGGTGACAGAGCTGTAACAGGGCTGTGAAAGTATTTCCTGACTCACTTTTCTTCCCCAGCACAGACTCTGGTGATGTGTCATCCATCACAGATGTGGCCATACTGGAGCTGCTGGCTGATTTGCGCCCAAAAATCTCATCCTGAATATGAGGAACACAAGCAACTCACTCATTACTTGCTCTGCACATGCAGGATGCAATGTTTCCAAATCCCACACGCACAATCCAAGCACACATAAACACACAAAGTCATCATACTGACATCAGAGTCCGAGCTGTCCAGCTCGGCGAGACTAGGAGCCTTCAGGAGCCTTTTCCTCTGAGGTGCAGAGTGACATCCGGAGGGCTCTAGTCTGGGGGAAGCTGTTCCATTGGTCAGAGACAGAGAGCTGGACGTCCTTCTGCCCATGTACGGACTAAACTCATCTGTTCAGAGCCACACAAGAGACAGGTATTTAGATAAAGACAGAGAAAAACACTTGAGATGAATCTCAATTCTTCACACGATTCCTTGCATCTTTAGTCTGTTTTTCTTAAAAATCTAACTTGAATGTTGCGTCCTCCCACACGGACTGTTTTCAGCTAATGTGATGTATGAACGGGAGGTAGGATGATAAGATGCAATGAATCCTGTTAGAGAAGACTGAGATCCATCCCAAGGGCAGGAATGGTGAGTTAAGTTGGTCCGAGGGGAGGCAAAGGAGCAGGCTGGTGTTACACACAGAGCATGGAGGCGTCTTTAATGAAATGTAATTTCGACACTAAACTCCCTCAAACGGGATTCTTTCTGCTGACAACTGCTTATTTTCTTTTGAGGGGGGAAGCTTAACCAAGTCACTAACAGGGTCTCTGAGCCCTGAGTCAATACAAGGTAACCAACCACCTATCAAGTTCCCCTCCTCTTACTGTGATTTCTCGGAGCGCAAATGGTTAAAAGAAACGACTTGAAATGAGGGTTTTAGAGGGAGGCTGGGAGTGTGAACAGGGGAGACAAGCACGTTCTCAACAGACAGATAAAGAGCCGCGGCTGATAGGATCTGTAGGATTCTTCAAGTCTCTTCTCCTTGTGGGAAAAGCAACGACATGAGCTCATCGTCTTAACAGCAGCTAAACTAGAGCTGTGTCTCTGCCATGTTTTAAACTTCACTAAAACACAAATAGACTAGCCAGCATTAGCCATAACTGTACACTCTACCTGCATCTTTACCAGGACTTAGCATTCAAATATTCAAGTAGAGGAAATATTAGTTCACAGCCAGGGAGGCAGACAGACAATGCTGTTGGGTTACAGGTAAACAAGGCCTTTCTAAACCACAGCAGCACTCATACTTTACCTATTCCTGCACGGAACAAATCCTGTGGCATACTGCGAGTTTTGCCAAAACCTAAAAGGGGACAGCTCCTTCATTAGGATAACTACAAAAGCATTCCATTATGTGCCTGTGCTGTCATTGACCCTGATGATCTGTGATGACCAATGAAGTCCAAGTATTATTTTGTACTTTTTATCTCAAACATTTCAATAGCTTGAGATTTGGGGGGGGGGGTATGGTTATCCTCGCTCTTGCAGAGTAACATTGGTCAGTAAGTATTATTAAAGCTATAGAGCCAGGAGGTCTCACACTCACACACAAACACTGCCAGGATTCATTCAAAGCTACCAGAATCACCTCCTGGCTCTGGCTTAATAATTAGTGTACAGACCTAAGAATGGTATTTATCTTCATATCTAACTCTCAGCAAGAAGCTAATTTCCCAAAATGTTTAATTACCCGTTGAAATTGTTGTCCAGTAGATTATCACACCATGACCATTGTACAAAGAAATGTGTGAGGGCTCATAAATAATTGGGCAACAGCAGCTAAAATCATAAAGCAGAGTTGATGCAAATGAAAACAGTAATGTGGATGTGGCCTGGTATGTACAATCTGCCCAGGAACGACTAACAGAGAAAAGGAGAATCAAACTGCTCCCTCTGTGCAAGAGTGATCAATTATAGAGGAAACTTTGTACATACACACACATTATTGGACAGCATGAATGAGAGAGTGTGACGTGATACAGATTGTGGTGTGATGAGAGACACTGGCTGCAGGTAAAGTGGATTCTTCTGCATTATTTCCTCTGCAGTGTTTTCTTACTGCATCAATCAAGACTGTCTCATTATGTTCTTCCTATGCATTTAATGCGAAAACACAGACATACTGCTGCTGTAAGTCTGCACAGTAGTCCAGAGGCTGCACATTGATCCTCCTGCAGAATGATTCAATCCTGCAAAGTCTCCATTAAAGACCCCTTGGTTTGATGACTCTTGAAGACACATACGCAGTTCTGGCTGATCAGTTCCACATCAGAGCAGTATGTTTGAGGGATAGTGAGCTTAGCAAAGGTGACACCTCTCCTGAATGTTCAGAGATCTCAGCAGTTACATAACACTGTCCATTTGTCTGACAGGAGCTGTAGATAAGAGGGACTGTTTGAGCCGTTGACTTAGCACATCGACACTGACGGTATTTCACAACCCTCCCCTCAGCATTCAAACATAAGCATGATCAAATGTCTCAACAGGAATAAAGCTACAGACAGAAGAAACAATGTTGTACATACAAATCAACTGTGTCATGATTCTGCTGCCTCTGCTGAACTCTTGAAAAGACTGGACTGTTGAATTTCCCTCTTTTGCTTCTGCACTAAGGGTTTCCTAACTTACAGAAGAGGGACAGTATCTTTAGGAATGACATGACTCCTGAGGACTCACATCAGCGTCAGTGGAACTTCATGTTTTACTGAGCACAATGAAGTAATGTGTGTCATTGGCAGGGAAATTGTTTTGAGAAGGAATTTCCTAACAGCCAGTATAGAGATGGACAAGAGGAACAACTACAGGAAGTACATTAAAAAAACAGACAAAACATATCTTGTTAAGTTTTATCTTATTTAAAATTTCCAAGTATCATTTATTTAATTAAATTGTGTTTTTTGTGGTTTTAAATGGCAAAATTTGTCAACTAAGTATACTGAGCAGCATATACAATATCCACTTCATATTTTCCACATGTCCTTAGTGTAACTGAAAACCCTGTGTATCCACTCTGTCGGTTAAATGTGTCACTCATCACTTTGTTCTCACCAGTGTCTCATCCTACTGACCTGTGTCTCACATCATCACAATGTTTCACCTTCACACAAAGCAGCCAACCATCACCAACCACTGAAGCATGACATGACATGTGTGCAGAGAGTGTGTGTGTGTGTGTGTGTGTCTGAGCTAGGAAAGCAGATGAGCAGCCACAACAAGAAGGATAACAGGAAGTCATGAGAAAAAACTAAAACAAAAAGCCAGGTAAGCAGCGAGGAAACTTTACCTGACGCATCAAAACTGAAAGACATGCTAAGTGGCCGAATTACTGCAAGGAGAAACAATCATGGCATAGTAGAGTTATTGCTGTGGAGGAGGTAAATTAAGACAGGGGTATAACATGCTTATAGTCCACTTTCAGATCACTGAAGTATAAAAACTTTCAGGATGGGAGATAATAGCATTTCAAATAAACCACAGCCAATGGTGAGAGATAAGTGACATTCAGAAACAGTAGTGTTTTTAGTACAATTAGTGTTCATGGAATTGCAGACACTTAGCATTATTATTCATGTACACCTTTCACTATATTGTACACAATATAGTCAACAAAACAATAATGTGCATTTGTGGCAATGCAAATATGATAAGTAAGGCAGCATTAGTTACAAGAGCAAAGAGAAGAGGCGCAAATAATAGCGGAGGAAAGAGTAAATGAACTGAAGCATAAAGCTTAAAACAATGAAGCTACAAAATATGTCTCCTCTGAATTTAGTTTATTTGCACATGATGCTTGCATCTGCTGGGCATCATGTGCAAGAAAGTGTGTGTGTGTGTGTGTGTGTGTGGGTGCCACATAACAAGAACAGTGACGAGGACATGGTGAGTTTCCTTACCCAGCCTTCCCCTGCGGACCTGATCAGGTGACACAGGTCGCAGTTTCCTCTCTGCTTTGATTTCCTCCAGGATCCGCTCATGCAGGGTCGGAGGAGGCTGAGTCTGTGGCTTCAGCTTGCGAGCTGACACCTAACACAGAGGATGATGGAGAAAAAAAATCCGTGAAGACAGTGAGTGAGTAGGTTGTGTGAAAGAAATCAATGACACTAACAAACAGCTAAAACCTGTAATATTCATATCATATTCATATTTACACTGCAATGAAACTTCATGTAGAAAGCTGCAACATTCTTGCTTTACTAGAAAGGCGACAGTGGTTTCAACAGAGCTGTAATATAGAGAATTGAGACTGTCCTCGAGTTGGTTGTCGATGCAATCAGCTGATTGTGACCCACAGTTTTATTATAACATGACACATAGCAGCTGTTTTAATTGGGATAGGAGGAAGGAAAGAGGAAGCTAGGTGACATACAGAGACAAAGTCTGTGTTAGGCCTGGGCCACACTGGCTGCATGTGCAGTGCGTGACGGCTACACCACTGATCTGCTGCGTCTCACAGGCGTCTGTTGTTCGCACAGGGAGTGTGTCTGCTGCATGTCTGCAGTGAAGCCAGAACATGGGTTTCTGGTACGATCACTGTATTTGATCAAATAGGGCTCCCTACTATGCCACTGTAACCTGATAACAATGGCGCCTAAGTTAAAAACAAGATATTCCGCGTGCTGCTCATGCAGCCAGTGTGGCACGGGCGTAAGGAGTATGGGTGTGCATGGGTGTGACTGGGAGCTGGATGAGTGGACCAAACACAGGCCAGTCACACAGAAGAGAGCTGTTTGTATCCCATGTGAAACCAATCGTCATCATTGTTTGTTTCATCCAAACAAAAATGTCCTGCAGGAATCCAAAAGATAGTGAATATCTCATAGTTTCTCTACCAGGGTGAACAATTATTTATTATTATTATTATTTTATCGATGAATATCAATAAGCTTTCTTATAAAAATCTTTGCTCATATTGTGATGACATTTTAAACTCTCAAATCTTTAAAAAAATCCAGTGTGGTGGCATCTAAATTTAAGGCCTTTAAGGAAATTCACAGAGATCATGGATATCCTTGAACAATGAAAGTAAAGTAATACAGTTTAAAACAAGTCCTTTGGTAAATGTAAATGTTTGTATAAGGTATTGTGATGTCTGGGGTAAGATTTAGGATGGTGAATGTATCAGATTAGCATCAGCTTGCTAATAGAAAGTCCACTGGTCTATTTTCAGGTCTTTATTGGCTCTGCAGGGACAGTGTCCGATCCAATAGCATATTCAATCTATTGGCTTTATTTGTACTCACAGGGTTGAGAGGTGGTCTGGACCTGATGAACTCCAGGATGACTTCATGAGCACTTTTCTTTAATCTGGGTGGGATGTCTCCATTCACCTAAAACAACAGAACAGGGTTTAACATAGGAAAGCAAATGAAATACAGAGAGAAATGGCTTGACTGTTTAAGTAATTAAGAGCTATTCAGGAGCACAGAACCATCACCTATGGCTGCAACATATCATCAGTCAGTTGTAAAAAAATAATAATTTTGTTGTTTTAGTTTATTGTGTAATTTGTGATAAATAGAAACTAAAAAGCAACATGAATGAAAACTGTCCATGAAAATGTGTGACCAACAATCCAAAACCCAAAGATATTCAACTGACAATGATACAAAACAACAAAAGGCAGCAACTTATGACATAAGAGCAGCTGTTTGATTTACTCATACAATTAACTGAATTTTCTGTTAAAGTCAATTATCTTGTGCCTTTAATCCATCTCTGTTCGGTGTAAAAGATATGAACATGTGACGGGGAGAGCATTGTTCTGCCTTTATGGAGGACGCCACAGAGCTGAATCAGCATGATGGCGACGCTGTTCTGTCACACGTCTCCTCTCTGAGACAGCACACTATCTAAAATCACTCACTGTGGAATTTCTATGCCTGATTTGTCCGGGTCAATGTAAACGAGTGAAGGCAGCATATTGAGAGGTTCTCTTAACAGCAATATAATGGGATCTTTGTTTGAAAAGGCCTCTGGTTGCTGATATGTTCATCTGTGAAATGTCTGTGCATCATTCAAATTACAAGAATAGCATGATCCTGCCCCCCCTGTGCTGCTAGCCAACACAGCATCACTCCTGCCTGTAATTATTATGTAACAGAGTAACAAGTTTTTCAAACAATTTTTTCAAAGCAATTTTTCCTAAAACTGAAATTTGGCATAGCTTCTGTGTGTGTGTGTGTGTGTGTGTGTGTGTGGTCAGAACCAGACACTAACCATGACTTTGCGCAGCTTGTAACGTTGGAACCTGATGTCATCCATGAGCATCTCATAGGGAGTGAGCTGGTACTCGGTGGGCAAAGGGTTGTACTGACGCTCTTGCACCTTCTTAAGCTTGACTCCTTCACGCAGGTTCCTCATCACCTGGACCCAGAACCGAGCCTGACGGAGGAAGAAGAGGGCAGCATGGAAAAGCAAATGTCAAGAATGGCATGTGACCCTTTGGATCTGAGTATATACAATATCAGTCATCTGTGCTCTGACCTCTGTGCACACGTGCGTGGTTATATCCATCTCAACATGCTTCCAGAATGATACATGCATTCATATAGATTACTTTGTGTAAACATGCAGCTATGAACTATCTTTGATATGACACCAAAAAGGGGCATTGAATTTCCCCTCCAGACCCTTAAGGTCACTTTAACTTTGATGATTGAAATGATCAATTGAAGTTAGAGGTTAGAGGTCAGAGGTCAGGAGACTTGTTGCCTACCCAGTCAGTGTTCTGCAGCTCGTTCAGGTCACGACCAGGCTCCTCTGACGACTCCTCCTCCATTTTACGGAGGTTCTGGTAAAAGAGACAGAAACATAGGATACAAAAAAGAAACAGAATTACCACCTGTTGTATGTCTCAGTTACAGACTTGCAGTTACAGTCTACTTAATCATTCAACCTTTATCTTAACTCCTAATTACACTGAGGTAATTTACAATATAGCCGAGTACAGAAAATAAACAAATCATTCCAAGAAACCAAGAAAACACAAATAAACAGTAACATTTGCCTTTATTTTAAATCAAGGGCAAAAGTAAAATAAATAAAGTTTTTATGACAACTGAAGGCTACCACAGATTCTCGTTCATGTTCATGGAAGGGGAGGGTGAGGTGAGGGGTGTTCAGCTGCAACATGCAATGTCACCACTAGAAGTCACTGAATTCTGCACACAGGATATTTAAAGCAAATGAATTAATTAAAACAAGTGAATAAACTAAGAGAACAGTTGGAGTTAAAATAAGGGTAGATTCAAGAGATAGTTCACCCCAAAATTGTAATTCACTCAATATCTAGTCACCACTATGCAGATGGAGGGGTGGGTGAAGTGTTTGAGTCGACAAAACACCAAAGGTGTTTCAGGGGTAAACAACGTTGCAGCCAAATCCAATACAGTTATATTATATCTTCTTCAACCGTGACTATAGTTTACATTTCACAATAGTTAAGAATCCAATCTAAATTTTGATCCTTTTATTTTTGAATATGCACTTTAGCCTCACAGAGCTACTAGTATGTTCCTAAATTAGCCCTAAAAAAAGAAAAGAAAACTTCATGTAAAGTCACTTTGTATGTTAGGTTGTATTTAAAGCTATAAACTCAGATATGTTCCTTTTTCAGGCCGTCAACAGCAAACACAGCTCCTCCGTTCTGACATATCTGCATGAACCTCTACAACGTGAGGCCATTCAACTGCTGTATAACCCTGTCAGCCTGACTGACAGCATGTCTGTTGGACGCGAGGAGCCAACCTGCATTCCTCTGCTGCTGCTTTCAACAGAGGACAATGTCTGTGTGTTCTTTTACAGATATCTTTGGTGTTAAGGTTAAGGTAAGGGGCTAGAGATTGCATCATCATTTGCTTTATTATTATTATTATTATTATTTTTTTATTGACCGCTATGCTTCTGATTCTGATTCTGCCAATGGGTGTCCTCACTAAGATAGAAGTACAAACGTGTGTGTGTGTGTGTGTGTGTGTGTGTGTGTGTGTGTGTGTGACCTGTAGACGGACCAGTAGACCTCATGGGGGCCAAAGCCTAATGAGGCAACACATCGTTTCTGAGGTCCGAGTTAAGTTTAGGGGTAAGATATGAATTGTGGATAGGTTAAGGTTAAGGCTAGCCATAAATTGGTCATGATTAGGTTGTGGAAGGTTTTGGTTAGTCTTTCAGCAATGAATGGAAGTTAATGCAGTGTCCTAACAAGGTTAGCTGCACAAACTACCCAGCTGACTGCGGATCACCACAATTCAATATCATTCTGCTCAGGAACAGCTGCCTTGGCTCGACTAGAGGCTCAATGTAGCAGTTACATAACATCACTCACACTATGATGCATAATGCACTCTACTTGTGTACTGTGTATACAGTAGTCTATTTACATAGGGTCATGCTTAAGTGCTTACTAGCTTATAACAGCCCATCAAATCAAAGCACTGCTAATTTGACCATTGAAGAGCCTAGAGAGTTTAGTTCATTACATCATTATCTCATTGGTATGAGCAGCATGGCACTCCATCAAATCCACACATTTCCATTTCAAAAGGCTGATTGAGAAGTGTTCTCTGCATGTGATGGAGACAGCATTTTCATTCAGGCATGCAGAGCAACCCTTGTGTGGACAAGACCCAACCATCATACCTCTAAAAGAAGTCCACATGAATAATGACAAGCATTGAAGGGGCGCACACACATACCTCAATCAGGCAACACTGTGTACCCCTGAAACTGTGAAAAGTGTTTTGTGGACTCAAACACTTTATCCACCCCTCCATCTGCATAGTGGTGAGTAGATAATGAGCACATTACCAGTGAACTATCCCTTTACAACACACACACACACACACACACACACACACACACACGCACACACAAATTTATATTTGAACATTTACACAGATACACACTCATGCATCTGCATGAACCATCAGGTAAGCATGTATCCACGTGTACTCTCTCTCTCGCCCACACACACACACACACTGAAATTGTGACAGGGCTAAATGAGAAGTCAGCGAATCAGTGATTACAAATCATCCTATAGATTTCATGGCACTCCATCTAATCGTTGACGGACAGAAGAGGAGACAGATGAATCAGCAGAGGCTCAGTACTCAAGCTCAATAAACCTCAAAAACCTTTTACAGTGAAGAAGTGGTGGCCTGGATCTGGGGATTTGGGGGGTGCGGTGTGTCCGTGTTGTTTTCTTTGCTGATTCTTTTTCTACACACATTTGGTATATTTTGTGTATGTGTCTGTTAAATCTAAAGAAAAGGAAGACTTAAAAGTATGGCTAAAACTATCTAGGGTGAAATAAAAATAATCATTATACAGTGTTGCTTCATGAGGATTATTTCATCCTTTGTCCTCCAGCTGGTAGATTGCTCATAGGTAGGACGGAAATGTGTAGCTCTGAAATGACAGCTTACTTAAAATGACAAACATATTGATGCTTTCTTCTTTACTTTTTGGGGCTAAAAAATATTTCCCAATTTCCCTGCTTTATAATCTCGGTCTTTGTCAGCCTTCTCCGCCCGGAGTCCTCTCTCTCTCCTCTCTATTTTCTACCCAAGTTATGTAACCAAAAAAAAACCTTTACTCATTCAGATGCATTACGCACAGTAAAAGGGCAACTGCAGCAGTGCATAGCAGGAAGAAACGCTGAGGACGAAGACAGCACACACACACACACACCACTCCCCATAGGAACTGTTCCAAACCATAGCTGAGCCCCGAAAATGTAAATGAGAAAAAATAAATCTAACTAAAACCAGACCTGCATTTGATCGTATACTGAATGGGTATCAAATAATAATATTTGAATGTGAACTTGGGGGAAAATGAAAATGAGTTGATAATGCATCTGGAAAGAAAGACTCGCACATCAGCTCAACTTAATTTTCCCTAAGACAGTTTTCAAATGTTTTCATTAAGTGGAAAGCAATGGTTATGATGCAAACGTTTAAATAGACATTAAGTCTTTTATCTCCATTAACTAGACTTAAAGCATGAAAGTGAGTTTGTGCAGTTTGTCTCTGTTAGTCACAAATCTCTGCAGAAAAGAACTATCTAGCTCCTTCAGTTGAATATGAACTATTGAGTTAGGTTTGCTATGTTAAGTCTCTCTAAGCTGTTTGAACTCTTGTGATTGGAGAGCAAATGTTATATAAGAGAGCATTACTTATTTCATGATATTTACCAAAATACTAAAAATGTAAACCTTTATATTTGATCTTTGATTGTGAGGTCTCCACAGAAGCTGTTGGGGCGGTGAGGGAGGGCTGAACCTTGCGTAAAATTTTTTGTATTTTTCTTTGATTCCCTCTCAGAACTGAGAAATAATATTGAATTAAAACAAAAAACTGTTAAATTGACATAATTTGTGTATTTGGGGAACACAAGTACAGGGTACCACTACAAGAAATAAAAAAAACGAAATAAAAAATCAAGATATCCGGCTCCGCTTCTTCCCCCTCTTTCCCACTGCAGGAACCATGAATGGGTTTGAGATGAAAATTATTATTTTTGGACCAGGTTTTATATATTTGGGGTATTATTTATATTATTTGTTATTTACTGTTTATTTGTGATCATATTAATTTAGCAGAAAGTAGGTCACATAGGATGGGTGGGGATGATAGGATATATGAGCACATGTTCACCTTTGTGGAGTTTGGGAGAGAGGGTGAGTGGGGATGCCATATTTTTTGTCGCTACACTGTTTTCCTTGTGATCACTGTGACTACTTCAGTTTATGAGTTTGTGCACGTTACCATAAGTTGATCGTCCATTTTTTTCTTTGATAAAAGGTGAAACGCATTTTCCGGATCTGAGTGATCTTTTGGCGCATCATTCACATTATTCAGGCATGACTGCAGCGTCTCAGGAACTAATTTTGTTCCTCAAGTCACTACACCCTACTTTTGCACAGTCCCAAACCATTTACGCACTACTACACTTCAAAGTCTCTACTCTGACAACCTGTCAGTGTCAGAGTAGATTTAAAAATGATTTTATTAGTTTATAAAGCTCTTCATGGTCTTGGTCCTACCTATTTATCAGATTGGCTTACCCTATAAAGCTTCTACAGCTCTCTGGTCTTCATGGCCTTTTAATCAAACTCAATTAAAATCAGAACAAGAACTCACAGTGAGGCATCTTTTTATAACAATAGTCCACATCTTGAATGAAGTAAAGAGACCTAACCGAGCAAATGTAGCTCATGTGTCCATATTCATATTATTTGCTTCAAAACATCTCCCCTCTTTTAGCATCTTATTACTTTAAATACTGTTATAGATCTCTTGTATAATTGTATTTGTATCTTTATAATTTAAGTGGCCTGATCCCTTTGTCCTGCCAATGAATGGACCCTTGAAGAATTTAATGCAAAGATTGAAGTATTAGATTGTCTTGATTTATATAACAGTATGTTTTAAGGATTTTAATAATGTTTTTGCATAAGAATAAGGGGTTAGGGAAAGCTGGGAGTCAGAGTTACTGCGTCATGACATAGCATGAATAATATGGAATGTCCCTGGTGTCCATTCTCTTATTTATCCACAGTCATCACCATGGATCAGAATCAGCTCTGTCACAGTGGAAACATGGCTTATTTCATGCTACCATTCAGTCCTTCCTCTGTAAGTGATGGTTTACTGCTGGAACAGGAAAGATACTGTAGCTCACTCAGATGTGACAGTCATGCTCTACTGGTTTCCTCACTTGAACCTTGTTGCCAGAAAAAACTGGCAACAAGCAAATATAGTCAGCTCAACTGGTTTATATTCATTACATAAGAGCTATTATGTTTACTAAAGGCATAACATGAAAACAGTTTTCAGCATAATAAAGCATATAATAAAATACTATAAATATGTATGTTAACTAGTAACATTTGAAAGAGAGAATCATTTGAATGGCATTGAAAGTCCAACAGTCTCCTTCAGTTCAATCAACTGCACCAAATTCCACACACTCAGAAAAATCATGCCTCTAACCATGTCTGACCCTTTTTTTTATAAAGATCCACAAATGATTCCCTGGGAAATCTGTAAAAATGCTGAATAATCCACAATGTTAAAGAAAGCGATAAAAAATTGCTCCCTGTTTCGGATCCGTGACCAAATCTAATGGATACTACATCCTTCCACCAAATATCATGGTATTTTTTCAGTTTTTGTCATTATTTTGCTTCAGACAAACCAACAGGGGTGAAAACATATAATTCTTGGTGGAGAATTTGGAATATACAACACACAGTCCCACAGTGATGACCTTGCCTCTGTCAGGGTGCACACAAAGAGAGAAAGTCATGTTGATCAGTGGGGTGTGTGGGGCAGTGCTAAAAGTGATGTCTCGATATGTCCTTCATGGGCTGCACAAAGGTCAGTGATCACGTTGTAACCCTTGACTAAAGTGGAGCCCAATATCCAGTCTGTTTGGGTTGTGATTAAAATAAGATGGGTATTATTAAAAAAAGAGCTTATGCATTGACCATACTCAATTTTTTCCCCTGTATCTGCTGTGTAATGTTTAACTAAACAGCAACAAAAATGAGCTCAACAAGTCCGCAGCCCTGATGATGATGATGATGATGATGATGATGATGATGATGATGATGATGATGATGATGATGATGATAAGCACCCACCTCTTTGGCGCTCCTGATCTTCTCCAGAAAAGTGTTCAGCTCCCTGGTTTCTGTATACAGAGCCCGACACACGGCCTGGTAGTGACTGGGGGCGTCCGATAGGCTGGGTAGATGACTCGTACACAGCTACAGAGGACAGACAGTGAAGTACAGAGGGGGAGACATTTACACAGGTCACAGCTGCATTTCTTATAAACTTGTTACAGAAGAGCTGGAGGAAAATTCACAAAGTGCGATGCAATGCACTGAAATGAATGGCTATATCAATGTCCCTCAATAAACATGGCAGCCATGTTCAATGACCACAGAGCCTGTGCAGCTTTCTAAGTGTATGATGTGACATAGCGGTGACTAATGCACTAGCATGTTGGCTAGTTAGGCAGTTTATTTGTTAAGTTAACTATCAGTGCTGTTGATTTGGAATGTGATGTCTCTCAGAGAAACTGCATGAAAACAAAAATATCCAAACAGATATGCAGACATTGGTAAACATCGACAGTGGGACACAATTCACAAAACAGCTATGCCCGAGGTCAGCCATGCTGCTGCCACATAAACACACACACACACACCCACAATGACAGAATATGCCTTGTGTCTCTCGAGTGCAGAGGGTACACTGTGGTTAATGCTTGAAATACCATTTGTCTAGACAGCATTCCAGCTAGAGAGAAGTTCACTTAACACAGAAAAGAACAGAAAACTTCTCTACTCTCATAATTGTGGGAAAAATGTTGCATGCAGGGTAAATGAAAATGTTATCTTTGTTATTTCAGACAGAAATAAATGTGATGCTAATGTAAGTGTGGTTAATAATGTAATCTATGTCAGCTGGGGTCAATATAGTAGGACAAAGGGTAAACTCAGGAAGCACAGGGAGTGAATGGAAGAGGAGACTATTTAAAGTGACAGCTGGCTCGCCTTGGCCCAGCCAGATTGCCACGCTGCTCTGATACATCTCCTTGGAGAGCAGCAATGATGTGTATTGGTTGGTGTGACCGGGTACGTGGTCATTATGTAAACAGTACCAGGCCGTGTGAGGACTGACACAGTGAGTCGATGCTCCATTGGACAACAGAGACATGAGGATCAGACAGGTTCAGGGTTCACTGTTCAGAGTCATGTTCAACATTTTCATTTTCTCACTGACAACATTTCCTGAACAGTCAACCAGCTGACATTATCGGTTTCTGGATTAATTTTCCTCAGCGTCTGTGTTTCCATTTATTTCACTGCAGTGTCATTTCACAACTAAAATGTATTGTTTACAGTTCAAATTAAAAAAATTTGTGAAAATCTGCAGATGTTTGGATGTCTGATGACTTAATATGATGATTTATTATGTTATACTCAGTAGTTTACTGTCACTGTCAGCAATTCCATGTATGTGGAAACCAATGGCAATAAACTCAATTCTGATTCTGATGATTCCGCCGTGTCTTATGTTTGAATAGACATAAAGACTTGGTGGACTACATGGGTAATCATCAATTGGAATTTTGACATTTTGAATTTATAATCTCCTTGTGTGTCTCTTACTTTACTTCCTGTCTTTGTCTGTTTCCCTCCTTAACTGATTAGTTGACTTGATAAGTTCATATTTGTTTAGTTCATTTGTGTATTAAGGCCTTATCTACCCTACTGCAGACATTTTTTCAATGGATGTATTCCCCTCAGTTTACAAAAAATCTCAATGCACTCTTGAAAAAATATCTCTGTCCAGACGATAACACACCAATGACTCTAAACGCTCAAACAAGCATGCCGGGCCAGTAGGTGGTGATTAAGTCCACATCAATGATCCATCAAATAGAATAGAAGAATGCTGTGTGCATGGTTGATGAGCTCAGGTCCAGGTGAGGCAGCTGCCTTTGAATGCTGGTAATGTGGTGCACTGACGCTCAATGTGGCTGCAAACTTGTGATTAGACCTAGCAGTGCTAACCAAACTTAGAGAAGCTGGTATATAGCCGCCATTGCTATAGTTGTTTGTGTATGCGCATAACACTAAGCAACAATGGGCATCCACTAAGTAAGCTGTAATGTCATTGTTTCCCAAATGCCCCGTTTTACACCTAAACATGAAACTGGAGTGTTTTAAAAACTGCACTTTGGAAAGTGTTTGTAAAAGTTTTAGTGTCTTAAAATGCTGTATGCTTATGGACAAGATGCACAAATGCAGAGTCAGCGCCAGTTCCAGCATTTTCCTACTCTTTATTTCCTGCGAGTCATTGACCAAGTTTTGTATTTTTTGTTTGACCTTCTTTCTGCTTCTGTGTTTATTTTTTTGGAACCTTTCGCTGTATCTGACTGCCAACCTGAAGTGGGAGGCAGATATATACTGTGTAGGGTCTGATTACCTTTTGATTGGCTCTACTGTTTAATCAATAACCTCTTGTGTGCTTAGTAAACACATATTTATTGATATTATCATCTTATTTAGCTGATATTTCCTGTTTACACATCCAGAAAACAAGGACCAACATTATCATTCATGGGGAGTCATGATTCTTTATTTCCATTTTACTCCATTTTTGTCTCTACAATTTTTGAGTGAAACATCTGGCGCTTCAGTCGCTTTTCAAGATCAAGATTGGGTATGTGATTGCAAAAGTTTTTATGAAGCCCCTTTTCCACAAACATCCATTGACATCTCAATTTTGTTTGCAGTGAGAATAGATACAGTCCCTCCTTGGTCAAATGATTCGGCACTAGACAAGGGTTTTTATCGGTTCTGGCTCCGATCTTCAGTGATGGAAACATAACACGCTGGTAAATGCGGTAAATCTCTCTTCTTCTTCTACTTCTTCTTTTCTTTATTTTGGCAGTCTAGATGCTAATTCTGCCTGTTCTGCATGACGTTATGACATGCATCGAACGTCTGGGCATGGGCGCGTAAATAGCCATGATTGTTTTCTTGGGAAAAATGTGTAACAGAGATTTTTTTTCTTCGTATTGTGCAAAATGCAACACTGGTGAGACAGTGAGGTGAGAGCACGTCCCAGTTTCTAGTGCGTTCCTGTCATTCATGATTCCCTAAGAATGAGCAATGGGTAAGGAGTCAAATGCCTCTTTTATCTGGTTAAGCCACGCTTAAAAAACCTGGATAAACCTCCCAATTTTGGTGTTAAATCAGTATATATGTTTCACTATATAATTGCCAACTAGTTGCTACTTCCTGTTTTTAAGCTAAGTGTTTGGCTGGGAGCTTTTTGCCTGAAAACATCTGCATGTTTCTGCAGTAAAACAGGCTGATGAGAGCGGGGAGATTAAGAGTGATTGAAAAACAACTGACAACCATAGAAAAGAAAACCACAGTCCCAACCTCAGCTATGGTACCTACCTTGAGGATATCTCTGTAGCCATGAACACTGTAGACACTATCGGGATCGTCCTCGGCCTCGTCCTCCTCCTCTGTGGCCTCATAACCTTCGTCAGGGCAGGCGTCCTTTGTGACCTCGCCAATGTTGGTCATGAGGTCGATGAGCTGCTCCAGAGGAGGACTGAGCTCTCTCTCTTCATTCTCCTTTAGCCCGTAGTCCAGAGCCTTGTAGATCATGATGCCCAAAGACTCAATCACCTGAGAAGGAACACGAGACAAATAAAAAATCTACGTATGTTCATTGAACAAACAATAGATGAATCTATAGAATACACACTTTGACTTTCTTCGAACTTTCTCTCCCTGAAAAAATATGGATTTGTGTCTTGTGTCTTTGTTATGCAATCTGACCATATTTTGTGTGACCTGAACAGCTTTGACATGGAAGCCTCATGACTCAAACTTCGATTTACTATTAACACACACACACAAACACACTCAACATGCACAATAGCTGTCCTTTGACAGGCTGACCCTCGGAGCAGATTATTGAAAATTGATCTTGTGATTAATGACGTGTGAAAGAAAACATCACGTCATACACGTCTCTGTGCAGATACAATCTTTCACAGCATGGAAGAATCTCAGAATATGCAGACACACATAAACCGAGCAACAGCAGCAGGATCCAAACCGACAAACACGAGTAATTGGAACATAATGAACAATGATTTTGTGGATCTTACATTATTTCTATGCTGATCACAGCCAGTACATTTTTGAGGAAAGAGCTAATTTAAACCTGCACTAATCAATCTTTTGGATAATATCTGTTGTTAGCTGACGAACCGACCTCACTCTCGATAGGATGACAGGCTTTTCAACATTTTAAACAAAAACAACGTTGCTATAGTTTGGCTATAGCTTGAGGCACAAATAAGTTTTGGTTAGGTTTTAGGAAGGATCCTGGTTTCTTATGTTGGGTTGATATAAATACTAATAATCACTTGCCTATGCTAATGCCCGGTCTTTAGGGAAACAAGTCTTACAAGAGAACATATGGGTTGTTTCCCTCACTTCTCATACAATTCATAGTAGCATCTCGTGAATTAGCGTTCCTACCAGTAGCAAAACAAACAGAGGTCATCCCAATGTTTGACGAAACATTATTTGAGGACTTTGTCTAAGACCTGACTTTATACTTTGCTCTCACAAAGACAATTACTATAGCCGATAGGGAGCTTTGTCATTTGAAGGTAAACATGTTTTTGTCATTTGGCTCAAAAGACTGATCTATCCAGATCCTCCCCCCAACATCGCCTCTGTGGCCCCAACTGCCGAATGCAGAGTTGGGTGATGGCCACATTTTTCACATAGTCAATTTGAACTAATATAATAAAAATATGATGATTACAGCAGCTTTTAAGTGTTCATCTTTGTATAAGCTCAAGAAGGGATCATTATAAACCCACCAATACACACTGACCCATTATTACAAATTTACCAAGCAACAGCAGAATTTAAATTATAGATAGAGATTTAATGTTCCAAGCCAGATTTTAATATTGCAGAATGTAACATTTGTGTGTTCTGTTTATTGGTCAAAAATAAAGGAATCCATTATCCAAAAAAGGAGGAAAACATGCTGTTTTAACATCAACGAGTCTGCTAAGCAACAACATTTCATTTATGGTTGTTGTGCTAAAAAGTCTGGGAAATGAAACATGTGAGCCTGTTGGTCTCTCACAAAGAGCTTTTCATGAGCACATCAACACCAAACCTTAGTGCTTTCAGTACAACCAGGAGACGTCAGGAGACGCTGTGCTTATAGCTTCCAGTCTGACAACTAACTGGAGAGTCACGGTGGAAAAAGGCAGTAATGCCAAAACCAAGAAAAAAGATGAGAGTGAGAAATCTCACAGGGGATTATTCTGCAGCCCTGAGCACGGAGAAAAGAGTAAGAAGGAGGGAGACAGTACTGAGAGAGAAGAAGCCTGTGAGAAAGGGGGAAGGAGGGGATGCAGTACCGAGGTCAGTAATATGAGGATCAGAAGAGTTTCTGGAGACCAAAAAAAAAGAAGCAGTGACTGAGGTGCTGTTGAGAGTCAGTGAATAGATCAGAGAGGTCAGAGCAGGGAGGTAGAGATGAGACATCAAACCAACATTGTGCATGTGTGTGTGTCCGGACATGAAGATCAAGAGCAGATCAATGGACGCTTATGGTGAGAGGAGGAGTTATATGAGAGATTCGTCCTCTCCCCCATCAGTGTGTAAGAGCTGGTTTTCCTCGGGGGGAATGGCTGAATGCAACCTCTTTGTCTGAGGAATATATGACACCACGCAGACACACACAAACACACATGCACAAAAAACGCCTGCAAATGCAAACCCACTCCTCCAGAGACTTGCTAATCTCAGGCTGTTGCTGAGCAGCTCTGCAGCAGACAGCAAGTAACGCGCGACGATTCTCTGTATTGTGCTTCCCTGCTCAGCAGCTAATAGTTCTATGTGTTAAATATGTGGATGTTCAGGCTCCTGTGTCCTATCTGCAGATTTATGAGTTATTCTAAAGTGGTTGTCAAGTGTTAAAACAGTATCTAATCTGCAAATAGAGATTAAAGGGTGGAGGAAATGCTGCAGCAGACGAGTTTGACAATTTTTTCAATTTATATTTTTCTACTGAGGGAAGAAAGGATAGGGTTTTATTTTTTTTACATATGGCAGGCCACCAATTCAAATTCAAATTTTACAGAAGATAAATGCAGCAGGAGGATCCGGTGTTTATAATCGCTTTCCTTAAATTTCTCATACAGATGTGAAAATTTGCACATCTCCTCTTTGATAAAAAGAATAAAACTTTAAAAATATCTTTTGGCTTTGGACTGTGGATCAGGCAAAACAAGACTTTTTAGCACATAACCTTGATCCTGGGAAGAAGAGTATTTTCCACTACTTTTTGATAATACATAGACAAAATGATTAAATCAACTTTATACTGTATATTAATAAGGGTTATTGACCAAGGTCAGATATTTTTCAATTCTGTTACAGATATAACTCAACAAAAAAAATGTTACAAAATGTTTTTTCTCAATTTTCACACTGTGTCCTTCCTTAAAAGTCATGCACAATGCTTTAATTAATTATATTGATTAATGTCGATGTAGCTGCCATCCACTTAAGTCTGGGAAAGTCATTTCTTCCACATTCTTCACAAATAATCAACTGCAAACTAGGACTAATTGCAGTCTCTGTGACTATGAGACATCCGGCTGTAACGCACGTCTCCTTTCTTCTTTGAAATGAGCCGGCCTCATCCCCAGGACTACAGGCGACCAAGCAGAATGATGAGATGGAGGAAAGGAAGGGGTGGGAAGAAGAAGAGGATGAAGATGAAGAACAAAGGAGATCCTCAGCGGCAATAGCAACATCAAACAGCTTGGCTTATGTTTCAGCATTCCTGCCACAGCGAGGATGTGAGCTGGTCAAAGGGATAGAATAAAAAACATTGTGAGTCACTTTTTACCTCACTTAACCTTGACATTAGTCTCAGTGACAGTTGCTTCATGATAAGTCAGATTAGGTTCATAGTCAGATCTTGTTAAAACAAACAAAACTTTGCCAAATGCCCGTCTAAGGTCACTGGGCATGGCAACACTAGATACATAATTTACTATGCCATGGTACCGCACTCACAAATGCAGTTGCATTTTTTCTCAGTCATCTACCTGCAGTTCTGCCAGAAAACTCTTCCTCAGTTACACGCAAAGACAACATTATATCTCATTCAGGGCCTATCACTGCACGTCTAATATCTACTGACAGTGAAGTCTTTGCCATAGGAAAGTGTAGTCGGTCATAAAGGGACAAATGTATGTTGTGTTCAGGTGTCGGTTTCTGGTTCAGGCGTGGTAGAATTTCACTACAGCATTCAACAGTAACTGTACTACACCTTAGGCTGCACACCAGCTGGATATAATATGACAGCAGAGCCTCATGTTGACAAGAACACATGTAACATCCACCCTTTGTCCCAGTTATGAACATTCAAATTATGTAATAGGGTCCTCTGGTTTAGGTGTCTATGCATTCACTGTTTACAACATACACTTTTCTACAGTGGTAAGCCCAATATACAACTGCAACCAGAGGTATCTATAACTTCAGTATTCCATCAACCACATGATCTGTAAGAAAGTAACATGTAGAGAACAAGCTGGGTACCACCCTCATGTTTTAGGTATAGAGCCAAGAGCGCATTTGTTTAGCTCAGCACAAAGACTGGAAGACTGGATTGCCTCCTAAGATACCCACACTGAAGCTCTCTCTTGTGGATCAAAGATCGTGATCATGATTGAGATCGAGAGCTTGGATTGTTGATCGTGATACAACTCTGCATGTTGACAATAAAGATATTTTGGCTTCACTTTTGAGGAGCTGTCATGTCGTCCATCTTTATATAAAGTCTACAGTCTCAGACAAAGACACCAGCTCTTACACACCTTGGTTTGAGTAATGTAGCTTTGTGTGATTTTAACAGACCAGGCCCCAGGGCCTGTTGTACTAACTCCACACTAACTGAAATGTCATAAATCTCTCTCGTGTGCAAAAGACTGTCATCTATCATTGTTGAACAACCAGCAGGGAATTACCACAATCAGCTCAAAGTGCTTGGAATTAAAGGTTTGTTGAAGCAATGAGAGGATTTAAAACATTTATATTTCCTCTCTAGTGGACCCACAGGGATTGGGTTATAGCAGGGAGAGTAAACACTGACAGAGCTAAGTGGAATTTTACCTCCCCACTGTAGATTATAATCCTTTTAAGCTTTTATTTTATGAATTATGTTTTTGCAAAACATTATTTATTGCACTTTTTTCATAGTAACATCAGACTCTAGGAATACAGCCAGTTCAGCTGATGTCGTTTCATTGTATTTCTTTACAACACATCCGGGGTTTGTAAATGTGACACCAAGAAGCAGTTACATTTTTCATAGTCTCCTTATAAATAAACTGAAACGGACTGAAGCTGAAATAATCTTTATTTTAGTATCCACTTAAAGTTGCATCTATTTCTTGAAGGTAAGTTTGACATATTGGAAAAGATGGTTATTTGCTTTTTTGAAATTTGGAGTGTTAAACCTTATGAGCACTTCATCTGGCTTGTTTCTGCAATGGGAATGGATACGATCGACATTTACTACCCTGGTTAAATGACTCTGCGGTAGACAGCCTGGGTGTACGCGCTAGTTTCTTCTTCGTGCTGGCAGTGTAGACACTGACGCAGCACCTTTTCCTGCACAACATTAAATTGTGCATTGAACTTCTGGGCATCGGCACATAAATATACATGAATGTTTATGTAGTTATTGTTTTTACATCTTGGGAACAACATGCTACAGCGATTTTGCTTCATCTTGTGCAAAATGCAACACAGGCAAGATGGGGAGGTGAGAGAGCTTCTTTGTTTCTGGCATGTTTGTTTAGTGGAACATGACACATCAGGGGGGGGAAACAGACTGGCAAACACCTCTAATGGCAAGTGGTAGAGACTCAATCATTTGAAAAACCTGCATATACCCACTGAATTTGGTATAAAAGAGGTATATTAGAACCCAGTAGGACACAACCCATACAGAAAAAGCAAGACGGCAATTAAGCCTGTTAACCAAGATGTTGTACCGTTCTTTTAAACAGAATTGTTGAAATGTTTCAAGAAATATTTAAAATTAAGAATAAGACTATGAAAAGCATACAAGGAATCTGAGAAACGCTCCGCTGAACGGCAAGGTTCAGTGGACTGTGGTGGTGAGCCCAGAACGTGGAAACTTGTGATACACTCTACATGATGTAAAAACACTGTCATCACTTCAAAAAATAAAAGAAACTCTCTGGTACTTGAAAGCAAAGCGTCTGCCCTCTTCATTTCTTCTTCACATTATTTATTGAATCTCTTGCTCTGAATGTTGAGCTTAAAGTTGTACAGTCATCTTCACCACGTGTGTGATGACACATGGTAATTGTTTTTATTTTTCAATTTCATCTACAATTTGAGAAAACCACAACTGTTCCATCTGAATCCCTGAAGGAGCCAATTTTAATATTTAGCTGGTGTTTATAATTGTTTATTAAGGCTGCAGATATTTAATTTATTATGAATTAAGGGTAAGGTGGGAAAGGGTTGTGGTTTCAGTTTTATTCTTTACCTGTTCAATTTGTTTGGCGGGATCTAGACAAAGACGGGAGTATAGCTCCTACATTTCCTGTCAACCGTCACATTTTGCTTTAAGTTTAAGCCACAAAACCCATCTTGGACTCATGGATCCTTTTTTGAATGTGTAACAGTTAGGAGCTTGCTTAGCTGCATCTTTTTCTTTTTTTTTATGGACGATAGTTGCTACAATATTGGAGAATTCACAAATCCACATCTAAAAAACATGTATCAATGAGGGAATGATGTTACCATGAAATCAGCATGTCCGGCTTATAATTGATTACATTATTTTCTTTTGTCAGTGGATGCCAAGGAATTCACTGGCTAATGTGGACTGACAGTACAGTTTATGCAAAAACATTCCCCTAATGACACAGCTTCATATTGTGAGTTGACTCACTGTAAGAGAGGAATAAGCGTGGACTATTTCCTCTCAGGCACAAAGAATTGCTGAGGAAATTCCTCTCAGATTCTTATGCCTCACTCCACTGCTTTGCCCTCTGACTGTCATATGACTGAGTGTGGCTGCTTTGGTTTTTGCTGGACACCACATGACTTCACATACAGAACACAGAACAGAGGGAACGCTTGAACCACGACATGTAAATTTTTCCACTTCTGCACTTTGATTTGATCTCTTATGACCTTTTTTTCTCTTTTTGTCCTGCACACAAGCCCTACAGGAATCATAAAAGCAAGCATCACATCAGCTGAGCAGAGCCACCCACCGGACATTCCTGAGTGAATGTTCTGTTTACATTAAACACTAGATGTGATGTCGAACTCTTAATCCCTTCAAACTTCAAAGCTATTTAGAGGCTGCCCAGTTAAACTTTGACAGGGGGGAATGTGATGAAGCATAATCCACACATTTCTGAGGTAACACCTCGTCACAGGATCAGGTGGTCAAACTAGCATGGGCACAGGGTTAATCAAGAAAGCTTGAGCAAGAGAAACTAGAATAATCAGAATTCAATCAATAGGCACCAGAGTGCACACACTCATAAACATCAGTCTAAATACGCCTGATTTTCCATGAATTTTGAAATAAATAAATTCACCAATCTTTCAAAGTTTGAAGAAAATGAAAAAAATTCCTTTAAGGGGGTTGCATGGTGTTTTGGGGGCGAGAGGGGGTGGGATGTAGCAGTTGACCAGGATTACCAACCCTAGCTTTAATTGACTCCACTCTTAAAGTTAATGTTTTTTTCCTAGGCCTACAGCCCACCTTTCCACCAAGTTTCAATAAAATTGGTTGGGTAGTTTTTGCACAATCCTGCTAACAGACAGACAGAACAAGTTGCATTCATTCATACACACATTAATATGTCAATTTCAGGTCCAGTATCTAGCCCAAGAACACTTGGACTGAGTGACTGAAGGAACCGGGGCTCGAACCACCAACCTCAATGTTTTATAATTGACCCTCTATCTGCTGAGCCACAGTTTCTGCCTGCAACTAAAACATAACCTCCTTCGCTGAGGTAAAAAATAGAGAAGCAATGTGTAGGTCAAGATAGAATTATCTGAGTGAGGTTGGTTGAAATTCCGGTTCAGTCAGGGTCTTTCTGTGTGGAGTTTACATGTTTTCTCCAGGTACTCACATCCTGTCCAGGACATACCCTGCCTCTCACCCAATGCCAGTTTCCCCCATGACCCTCAAAGGATAAGTGGTATAGATAATGGATGGATGGATATCCAAGTGATTATATAAAAAACAAGCATTATGCATTTAGCTGGCTGTGCCAGGAAGAGCTCGGTTCATTGGCTCTGGTGAAAACAAGCATCATCTGACATTCACAGTCGAATCATTTGCAAGAGTATTTGTTGTCTGAAACCATGTGCAAATGTGTGTCAGCTATGACTACACACGTGTTCCTGGTCATTCAGCTCTGAGCTGATTCCACACTGCAGGTTAGCAGAATGCTAATACTCTGCTGTGGGCTTTAAAGCTGCCAGCACCAAGCAGCTCGAAAAGTTGCCAGTAGTTTTGTCAGCCCGTCTGTAACACACTGTATTGTGAGAACTCATTTCTGCTGCAAAGCTGCTTAGAAGGGATTTATCCATACAGTTTTACATTCTCTGCCTTGACTGTGTGTGTGTGTGTGTGTGTGAGAGAGAGAGTGCATGCTTGAGTTATTCATTGACTGTCCATCTGTTATTGCAGCTCTATATAACACAGCCATCCAACTCCAAAAGTCCCTGAAAGTGACTGCACACTGTCTCTAATGAACTGGGAACAGATCCTCAGTTAGTGTGCAAAATGTCTCACACTCACACACAAACACACACACACACAGTCGTGTCTCCATGACTTCAGGGGACATTACATTGACATATTTCCTGGAGATACTCTAAACTTAACCATAGCTACTACCTAACCATTGCCCCCCGAACCTTAAACAGACCTAAACTTAACCTTAATTATACATAACCTAAAAGTAATCTAAACACAATTACCTATATAATTTCTCCACATCAAACAGGAGGCGTTGCTGTGTGACATTTCCAATCAACCAGTCAGAGAAGCCTGCTGAGCACTCCGGATGTGGTGGAGAAAATAACTGGGTGAAGGAACAAGCTCAAAGATGGGACACCTGGACAATACTACTCTAATGGTTTCTAAATGTATAACCAGCACTCATTGGAAAATATTTCACAGACACGGTTGGAGCTGTACCTGTTTCTTATGGTCTGTGATTTAAAGTGGCAGTCCAACAATTTAAAACATAACAAAATGACACTTGTTTTATTTGTATAAGGTAGGTATTGGTCTAAGCAGCTGCAGCAGCTGCTTTGCAGGATTAACACAACCAATGGTTTCAACCACAGCGCTATCTGACACTGCTTACACTTGGATTATTCCAGCAGAAAGTTTCCTCTCATTGTAATGCTGTCTCTGCTGTTGTGGCTGCCACTCTTACTGTGACTAGCTAATGTAACCAACTGTGGAGGGTAAATGTTTGAAAAAGAAATCATGCCATAATTGTGGTTAAGCCTGCCATTATCTTTCAGAACACCATATTTCCCATCATATCTTATTAATCGACTGATTGGCACCTTTCCAGAAACACTGGAGTTTCCCAGCATGCATTCTCTGCGGTTTCTGAAGTTGATTGATATAAACATTGGAAACAATTTTTGCAAATCTAATTACGCCCCATTTTAAAACACACACATTTTAACACTTAGCAATTGGATTGTGCAACAGTAACATGCAGTTAACATCACACAGCAGTGCAAAGGCCTGTGTCAGGAGCCCTAATAATAACTGTGCATGACTGTTGCCTCAGTTTCAATTAAGTATGTGACCAAACCGAGATAAAAAGCCATCAGGGTGGGATGGCAGGCTGATTATTTCAACACAGGTACAAAGTCTGTCTCTTCCAAACGTACAGACCTAATGTACAAAGCTTTTCCTTCATATATGCTCTTCTTTCCTCCCACACCTATGGTGGGCACTTTGATAATATGTTCACGTTAATATGCCCACATAATAGTGTTCAAATCTCTGGCAGCATGTGATGATGAAACAGCAAGGAAAAGAGAATTACAGTGGAGTTACTCACCTCTGTTGTTGTGCAAGGGCTGTATTTATCTGCAGGGAAACAAGAAAACAGTGTTATGATAAGCAGCCTATTCACAAAGTAGCTTACAAGCATAAATATGTAAATCTACACATTGTTCAGTTACAGTGAACATGTATTGTGTTTATGAAATGGTGATGCTCTCTGAGCCATTCACGTCAAAGGTCATACAGTCCTACGTTCAATCCATATACTGTGATTGTGTCTAAATGTACAGAAACATTTTCAACACAACTTTCCCTTTTGAGCAAAACCCAGTGTTTATCTACAGTGGTTCCATCTTCAGTGATTCCTTTCAGTGGCAAGGACTTTCAATGTAATATAATGTTTGTATTGTTTTGTTGTACCAACTGGATCACATAGGACTAACACTGCAAAGGTGCCGAAAGCCAATGGAGAGGAAATGTACCAGTCAAACCTGATTAGGGGCAAAGTGATTGTTAAAGTTGAAAAGTTTTAGAGGCCTGATAGAATCACTATGAAATTTTTTACCTAAAAAAAGACTGAAAAAAAAATCTAATCGGGATTTTACAAATGTAGATGTTTCTCTATTTTTTCTAAAATCCTCAGAGTCCTGGCTCTGGAGCTTTGAAGCCACCTACATAATGAAGATCCAACTGAAGAGAAGCTGGCAATTATTATCAATCGCAAATGAGAGCTGCAGTAAGTAAATGAATAGGTTCAAATGAGGCAATTTCACAAAGTGGAACTGCAGCTGAGAAAACTTCAATTCATAAAGAAGAATCTGAATTTAAGGACCTGAGGCAAAAAGACTTTTCATTATTCAGTATGTCCTCTTAAAATGAACCAATAATAAAATTAAATGTGTTTATGTCAAATATTGACGTTCTCTCCGAAAAACTTTAATATCCAAGGAATTTAAATCTGTCAAATCAAGAGGCCAGGCCAAGCACTAGCCCCAGCAGAAATCTAAACACAATGTGCTAGAACAAGGAACAATTTTTAAATATGTCCAATGATGTGTGGATTTGCTCAAATACAGCTAACGTTAAACATTTTCCCTGGGACTTGTAACTTGTATCTTCAACCAACATCAGCAGAAACCTGTTGTTCTCTCGTTCTCATGCAAAAAGTGTTTAATGTAGGCTCTATATCTTTTTCTAATAACTCTCGTAGATTATGTTGCATGTGACTGATGACGACGAAACCCCACCCAACAAGCCGCAATGCATGAAGGTACTCCATTCAAAAAAGAACACCCACTAAGTGTTTCCCTAGGCGACATCAGCCCAGCTTTTACTTCATGAACAAACAGCCCGCTGACGAACGACCCACTCAACAATCGACTGTTTTGTGTTGTAACGCGCAGTAAAGCAGCATCACAACAGCTCTGACATCATCTCATGACCTCCACTTGCATCAGCAGATCTGAACGCCGTGCAGCTGCATGATGCAGATGTGTGACGTGTGTCAGTGTGTTCTCAGAAACACAGTGAGAAGTCATCAAGTGATAATTGAGTCATGATGAGAATGTGCTTCTGAATGAGAACAGGCTCTGAAACGAACATTATCTGGGTTTAAATGTACGTCAGTTTAGCAGTGGAGGGCTTCAGCGGCTGAATTCAGACAAATTCAAAAAAGTCGGATTTAGGAAACTTCTCTGAGCAACCACGAAACAGACACGTGAGTTGGTAAGTTTTTTCTGAAACAATCTTTATCTTATTTGTTGAAGCCCTCTTCATGTCCCAATAGCCATAATAATAAAGTTGTCTGAAAAATTTCCAATTTATTTGGTCCAAATAAAATGATTGGATGTGTTTCTGGTATGTCACTAATCGATCTGCTTGCCTGTGTGCACCCTTCAGGTTCATGTATTTGAGGGGCATTGCTTTGACTAAAGGGCCGATGGGAGGGGATGGATTGTTTGCATTATTTCATGTTGCCTGCTCTTGGGGTGACTGTGACTCAGAAGTTGGAGCGTGTCATCCACTAACAGAAGGTCTGCGGTTCATTCCTATTCCACGAACTGAAGTGTCCTTGGGCAAGAAACAGAAGCCCAAATTACCCCTGATGTGTATCAGCAGTGTATTAGTGATGTATTAGAGAAAAAGTGCTGCACATAGATGCAACATATTAATGAATGACCAGAAAAGGGCAACATAAATTCAAAACATTTAGCATCTTGCTAGCTTTAACTTTGGTGAGGATGTGTGGTCGACTCTGTTGCTATGTGTGTTGCACTCTCTTTAAAGGTGCCATTAGTTGATCCAAGTATCTTAGTGATAATGGACACAGAATGGACGGTGAAATCAACAGGCTGAATCATGACATTAAGTTCCATTACATGGTGTAATTATCCAAGGTCTGGTTTATTTAATGAATATCTCTGTTGAATAAATTCTATCAGGATCAGGATCAGGAGAGGAAATTCTTAAAAAATTAAATTCTAAGTATTTTCTCAAAATTTCATCACAAGGAGAAACTCTTCGCACAGGGAAGCTTTGTGAATAAGAATTGCCCCAATCCCTCTAAATGTGGTCACAGATTTATCTGATTAGTTTGTCTCCATCAGTGACCTGAGGTTACGCATCAGGAAGTGAGAACCTGCGCCGAACAGCACAGATGAGGGAAAATGAGGACGGCAAACTACCCAAGAAACTAAAAGCTTTTGTATGATGGTCACACTGATAAAGACAGCAGTGATTCCCCTCGCAGCTCTCAGGAGGCAGCTCTTCACCTCTGATCAGTTTTGATTCAATGTGGGAAATCTGTGGATTTCACTTCATTTGTCAAAGACCAAGCATCGGATATTTTTCCATATTCCATGTCTGATGTGAAACGAGCTGACATGAAAATATGTTCATCTGTGAAAGAAGAACAGAGACTGCTAAGGGAAATATTAAGAAAAAGAAAATATGACAGCAATAATAATTGCTATTTAATAATTGCTAAAATATCTCATATATAAATAAATAAATAAAGCGCAAAGCGTTATCCATGGTTTAATTTTTGCATGATGTGGCAGTCCATAAGCAACGGAGGAATAAAAGCCCGGACCCCCCTCTCCAATGGTTGCTTCCATGCTCCTATAAATAGCCCATTCATTCTAATCATATAGACCTACAGGCCACACCAGCACCGTCATCACAGCTGTGCCTCTCACATTCACTCATAAAAGTTGATTCGAATGAGCATGTGGTGCATTTGTTGGTTTAAAAGCCATAGCATTGAATCAGCAGACGTCTTTACAGTGTGTTATACACTATTTGTGTTAATAGCTCGTCCCTGGGGCCACTATCCACAGACATGGATAGATAGGCAGTTTGAATCCTGTCTGCTCTGCACTCAATTGTGATTACGGCAGATGATGAACATGACAGGCCTCGGTCCGATGAGACACCGTGATGTGTTTGCTTTAGGTGCATGTTATTATTCACTGCAGGGCTTCGCAGAGCCATTTGCATTGTCTTGGTTTGAATCCTGGTTGATTCCTTTTTTACATTTATCTGTTGTAACTCAGATACGGGGGAAATAGACACAGACACAGTGAAACATCCTCACATATGGTCAGTGGTCTGTATTTTTAAGCACTTTTCAAGTCTTGATAAACCCTAAAAGCACTTTACAGCCCAGTTTTGCCACTTACTCATTCACAAATACATTCATACGGTGCATCTATGGCAGTACTCTCTCTGTCATACATCACTAACATACACAGCCTTCAAAGGCAATTTGGGATTCAGTATCTTGCCCAAGAAAACTTTGGCAAGCACAGCAGGGGAGACTGGGATCAAACCACCAACCTTCTGGTTAGAGGACAACCCAGTCTCTCCTGAGTACTAATTATCATCAAGTACAATAGAGTCATCATAAAAGTGATGCATAGCCCCACTGAAAAACTGTAAACCCTATAAGGGAAATTTCCAGATAATTGCACTCATTTTTTCATTTTGCACACTGCTTGATAATAGAAACAGTGTCACACAGGCTGGGCCCTATAACACCTCCTCCCGACTTCCCTGCGCTACATAGCACATCATTAATTATAGCTGGGATCAACAGGACCCCCTGTGTCATAGGTGGTTAGGAGCAGCTGAATCAGGCTTCATGCATCTATTGTACTTCTGCATCTATTCCCTCACATGTGTCTCTCTCTGAGGTTTCTACATTTCACCTGTTAAACGTTTTTTCCTTTACTCTTGTTGAGGGGACCGAGGATGTTGCACCTTCTTAAGCCAAAATGTAATTTCTGAATACGGGCTATTGATTGATTGAGATATGCAGGAAACTTGTCACAACTTAATATCCAGGCACCAATCAGCTTCCACCGTCATCCAATCAGACGAAGTGGAATGCACACAGTGATCTGATGTGAGGAGGCGTTTAATAAAAGGTGAAACCACATGATAGTACAGCAGACACACGTGACGAGGACATAGATGAGCGTTCAGTGACAACACAGCATGAGGAGCCATGGAGGGCTCTGTGTGGGAGAGGAAGACTCCCTTTGTTAAGGCCCACTGCTGACTACAGGTCATGAGTAATGGAGCCATGACTACAGGCTGCAGATAACAGTAATCCTGACCTGCAAATCAAGCCCCCGAGTGTGTCACAACGTTCAGCTGCTCCTATTCTTTGCAGTGAGCTTGTTCCACTGCGGTAGCTCTGTAATGCTCCAGCTCTTTCATTCAGATCTTCAACACGAGGACAATAACAACAACTCCACTACTTGAAATGCAAGTGATGGTGTGGCCTAGATCTGAGTGGCTTCAGGGCTCACTCACTCTTACATAAGATTTTACCTTCACACCCCCGGTGCTCCACCATCACGGACCCATCTCTCTGGATCCTAACATCCGCTGCTCCGGATATTCTCCTCGGAGCCGCCGCTGGTGATGCTCCGGTGGCGGCGGAGGAGCTCCCTCCGCTCCGGTGTCCCCTCGCCAGCGTCCTGCAGCACTGGTAACACACCGCCCAAGCCTGCTCCTCGTTGATGGGTTGGCTGTACAGCCTCAGTATGTCCTCCAGACTCAGGCCCTCCGCACCTGCTTCCTCCGCCGAATTCATGGCGCGCTGATGCGGCTGCTCATCCCGGCGGGTCTCTGCGGCAGCATCCGTCAGCCCCGCGTGGTCCCAGCATCTCTGCTCGGCCATCCTTTCATTATCTCAGCGCAGCAGGCCCGGTAACGAGAAAAGGAGCAGGCCGGGGTGTGAGAGGAGAGCCGGAGACATGGAGGCTTCGCCCCGCTGCTCTCCGCTCCAGACTCCAGGAGCAGCTGCACACCGATCTCCCGACGCGTCGTTCGGGTTGCGGTGCCAGCAGCAGCGATAAGACTGAATCCTGCACAGCCTCGCTCTGTGTGTGTGTGTGGGTGTGTGTCTTACCTCCGAGCTCAGCACAGCAAGCCAAGCTCTCTCCTTCATCACATGATCTCTCTCTCCCTCCCTCCCTCCTTCCCTCCCTCTCTCTCCCTCTCCCTCTCTCTCACACATACAGTACATCATACAGTACAATCATTACACTTCTATCTCAGGGAGGAGCTCATTGGTGTCAACTGATGGCAGGAGATGGTAGATTTGATTTCTAATAGTAAGAATTTTATCGTTAAAGAAGTTCATGAAGACATTGCTATTCAGGGAGAGAGGAATACTGAAGAGAAACATGGGGTTGTTTTTTTATTTCCTCTATGAATGTGGAATAGTAGGCAGCTCTTGCTTTGTGGAGGGACTTTTCAACACAGTTGGAGCTTTCTAGTGTTCTTGACGCTTGTTTTAATTCATGTGTGTTGGAATTGTACCAGGGAGCTAATTTAAAATGCTCTGGAGTCTAATGTTAATCATAGTGAGTTAACAGAGCTATCAACAAGATGGTCCATCTCAGCGGAACTATAGGGTTTTAAAAGAACTCGTTGGTTAAATGGATGGATGATACTGAGTTAAATGTAATTGGGTTAAATTTAGCTACAGCACTAATCAGGTAGACGGATTATGTGGAAGTACTATTGACGAACAACGACAAACAATATCAACATTAACAGAGTAACGTGAGCAACTGTGAGCAAATCTGAAGATGTTTCACACAGCATCCAAACTTAACTCCTTCCCTCCCCACCTCGGATCACCCATGTAAACATGTCTATGTTAAATGTATTTAATGGCATCTTTTTGCACACTTCAACCTAAAGCACACATTCCTAAATAAATAAAATAAATCTCGTAGTGTCCCTATGTCTTGCCTCTCCACCTCTGCTCTGATGAAGAGATGAGTTGGAGTCTCTCTGTATGAGACCCTAGATCTGAATATGAAAGTCCCTGATCATACACATTACAATTTAACGCTAGTTTGCCTTTTATCTATAACCTAGCCTTGGGTATTGCGCAGAGAGAAGAGAGTATTTGTGGAATGAGACGGGCTCTGTTCAAAGCAGATGTGCTGTGTAAGGATGCTCAACAAATTCCTCAAACTTAATACCAATTCATCATTGTTCGAATGCTTCAGCCTTTCTGAGTATCGTTGCTAACTATGTTAATCTCTTATTGTCAGTCAACCATCTTGTAATGGAGAATAATGCTCCGTGTCATAAAGCAATAGTCTCGAACTTCAGTAACCTCCCCAGTCACCAGACATCCAACAGAGCATGCTTGTGATGTGGTAGAACCGGAGATCTGCAGCGTGAATATGCAGCTGACAGGTCTGCTGGAATGATGTCATGCAGCCAGATCAACATGGAACAGAATCTCAAAGGAAAATTGTCAGATCACATCTAGGAAAACCTGCCGCTGTTCTGAGAGCAAAGGGAGGAAATCTGCATAACAAGTGTCTCATTACCAATAAAGTGCTTGGTGAGTGTTTGTGTTAAAAGGGTGACCAGGGCAGACCATGAATGTTTTTGCTGGTCCTTTCCCAAGCTTGCATCTGTGATTCTGAGCGGAGCTTTTGTGTGCACCAAAACACACTCACCAATCATGACCAGGCCTCATCCAAGGTGTCTGTCTGGTCTCCTCCATGTTGAAACTCAATACATTTCACTTGCAGCTATATACATTCCAAAGGAAGTATGCTTGAAAATGCCCGTGGCTCTACAGATGATCATGATTCGTTACGAGGATACAGAGAAACTCATTATATGATACACACAGGCACTGCTATGTGTTATTTCTCTCACATGAATGTCTCCATATGACCACATCACGTTCATACTCTGAATTCTGTTCAAACATCAGATCAGACTGTTTCTTTCTAATTACTAAACAATTCCCAATCTGACACATATTTGATATGATTTAACCATCAATCATATTTATTCAATCAATGTCTTACACATTACTCAGATATAGATCTCTGTTTGACAGCGAATATACAGAACATGAAACAGCACACATACACACACACACGCACGTATAACATCTTTGTTTCACAATGTTTGCAGGAACAACCCACAATCTCAGAAACACAGATCTGGTTGCCATGGGTACGATGATATCACTGCCCATATGTAAACACCAATACAGAAGATGCAGCTATCAACACGCACCAGAACATATGGAATGACACAGTTAACGTACAACAAGACCAATTCTTAATTATTTTAACATCAAAAAAATGATTTCTGTGGCTTGAGAAGAAACATGTGCTGTAAACAAAACAATATTTAAAAGTCTTTTTAGTCCCTTGGTTGTAAAAGTGGTAGGAGCTCGTTGATGAGCCTTTTCACCATGAGGAATGAAGGTGCAGCGTTTTCATTCAAGCAGCAGACGTGGAGAGGCGGCAGTGAGGAGAGGGACAACTAGGACAGTGGGAGGTGTAGGGGGAGGCTCGTACCAGAGGAGTTAAACTTTGAAGTCCAACAGGTTGCAGTCGATCTTGTAGTAGACGTAAGGATAATACTCCTGCTGGCTCAAGTTCAAGCCTGGGATGTCCATCGCAGACTGGATATACGACAATAAGAAACATTAGTGTGAGCAAGCAGCATGTTGGGATGACTATAGCATCTGCAATCATCTCCAAAATGAAATTCCCCTAATGCTGTCAAACAGGTGCAATACAAAGAATGAAAACACAGCTCCCCATTATTACTCTTTAGTTAAAACTAGCTGGTGTTGTGGTAATATGAGGATAACTGGGGTGAAGTAGTTGATGTAGCATAAACAGGTTTCCCTGCATTTAACTTCAAACTTCAAAATGTATACTTTAGAATATTAAGATTATTTTATTTAATCAAAAGTCATATTCATGATAAGATAATAATACAGTGAATAATTATGTGATAAATATATACTATATACTAATTGGTATAACATACCAAAGAGAAAATAATTTATTTTAAAGATTTGGACCCTTTCTTCTATTCTACACTTTTTTCTATCTTTTCTATGGTGATGCAGAACAGTCTCCATGAGCAGCGCAGTCAGAATCTGACAGTGTTTATGTCTGTTTTTAGTCAACTTTATTTTGTCTCCTCTTCTCTAGATCAATAGATTTGGTATGCATTATAGACATAGGACACATAACAGGTTCTGTTCCTGAATGGACTAAAATATAAAGTTTACATGTGAAATTAATGGAACTTTATTAAAATGTTAGAAAAGCTAAAACATATGAATGTATTCAAGAATAAAGTTGGGGAAGAAGTTTAAGTTTTGAAAAGAGACATTTTGTAAAATAATTATTTAAAATTATTTGGGGGATATTGTATATATTATCATTTCATTTATGGATTAAACACTTGCTGAGATATTTTATATCATCATTTATTCCATGATAATCATATTATTAAATGTTTGAATTAGCACATGCTGGTGTTCTTCTGGATGCTGTGACCATGCAGGAAGTACAGTAAAATGATACAGAGTACTCACATCAATGATAGCAGCTGCACTGCTGTCCAGATGCTTGTACAGATCGTTGAGCACCTCCCGCAGCTTCTTCATGGTCTTCTTGGTGGGCTGCAGCAGCATGGCCTGAAAGTTCACCGGCAGCCCGTATCTGCAGGAACAACACGTCGCACATGCATATAAGTGTCACGTCATTATTGGTTCAGCTTCTGTGTAGTTCTATACATGAGTGTGATTATGACTGTGTCGTTTGATTACTGCACCTTAAAACAGATTCCACAAAGACCCTGAGTGCTTTAATGTGGATCCATGCGATGAAAGCTTCACTGAAGTTCACTTTCAACCATCGAACAAGTGGCCCCTACAGAGGAAACACACCTTAGGGTTAGAAGAGCTTCAAGAGCCATTCATTTATAGTACTTCATCCTGTCTTAGGCTCCCTGCAGGGGACAGAGCATGTGTAAATGGATTTGACAACACACTGAAATATGGAAACAATACAATTAACATGATTTTAAAGTATAGTAGAATCTTATGGGGAACTTTAAATTTGAATAAAACATTTTCATGCATCACTGCCCCTTGAATCATTTGATAAAATCTGTTTCAATTATTTCATTCCTACATTTCACACTAATATTAAACATTTCTGTGTATGACACATGTTTTTTGATCATCTTCACACCAGTAGCCAGTCGTTTTTCATTTATGCACACTCGCTAACATCAGCTGAAAATGGTTCATTCAAAAAATCAAAAAAGTGTGTTAGGGTTAGTTGTTCATTGTTGCCAAGTAATGTGGAATGCCAGGTAACGATGCTGTAAGCAGAGATTGTTGAGAATTATTTTTAATGTGTCAAAGGATGATTTGTTGTATAGTTCAGTATTTAAATAGAGCTTTTCTAGTCTTGATGACCACTCAAAGCTCTTTATAGCACAGTTTTTGTAATTCACCCAGTCACACACTCATTCATAAAGTGCATCTATAGAAAGGGCAATTTGGGATTCAGTATCTTGCCCAAGGACACTTCGTCATGAGGAGTAGGGAAGACTGGGATCGAACCACAGACCTTCCGGTAAGAGGACGACTTTACCAAAGCAGGCACAGCTGTCCCTAGATCATGCTTGAGTCCAAGTGATTGTTTGTGCCAAGTGTAATGAAATTCCCTCTTGATGTTTCTGATATATCACAGTCACAAGGCCACTGTGAACTTGACCATCGACCTGCCGCTGGCTGTCGCGGTGCACAGGCATAAGAAATGCCCAAACAAAATTTAGGTCAATTTTTATCACTTTTAAAACAAGTTCGAACATTTCTCAGTGTCCATTTCACTTACAAACTGCTTCTTCTTATCGGTGGAGAGCCGTGTCATCTCCTCTTTGTCTGCCTTCATCTCAACTTCATTGTACTGAAAGTCTCTCACTGTGAACCTGGAAGTAAGATGGAGTGGACAGAGGTCAACCTCAGTTTATAATGAATATTAAAAATCTGTGAAAATAATGTAATTGTTTTTTTTTTTACAGCCTGTGATCGCTGCAGCTC